GGGCGGGTCAGGAGAGGTCTGCCACGCCATGTGGTCACCTCCGGGGCAGGCAGGGATCGAACTCATGCGGAAGTGGCTTCTCAGTGCTGTGCTTTAACCCCGTGTGCCACCAGGGAGGGCCCTAAAGTTTTTTTTTTTAATTGTAAAATTCTTTATTGCATGTGATTTCCTTATAGCACATGAATTAAGATCACACTTTTTGCTGAAATTAAATTTTTAAACTTATTTCTGAGCTCATTAGCATATTGAATATTATCTCTATAAAACTTTCTCAGCCTATATAACTTCCCCATCCTCTTAATGTCTTGAATACCCACATCGCTTTTTTTCTGCCATTTACTTAACTTTGTTTAATACTATGCATTCTAGGCCCTCCCTGGTGGCGCAGCGGGTTAAAGCACAGCACTGAGAATCTAAAGTCGCTTCTGTATGAGTTCGATTCCCACCTGAAGAGGTGTAGCAGACCTCTTCTGACCCGCCCACTACTCCCCACTCTGTCTCTGGTGAAGCCTCTCACCGCCCCTGAGCCTCTGGCCTGTACCCCAGTTTTGAATGCACAAATAAATCTTTAACAACAACAAAAAAATACTATGCATTCTAAGATTTGACTTCATTTTACAAATTCTTAAAATATTGTATACATTTAAGGTATATAACATGTGTTGATATATTGATACACAATTAACTGATTTGTCTAGCTAATTAACAAATCCATTTTCTCACAGTTATGTTTCATTGTGCTTGTGGTTAGATTACCTGAGAGATGCCTTAGTAAATTTTGACCATTTTGTCATTTACCAACAAACTACCAACAAATGAGATTTCAGTGCTGTGTTTGTTTATGTAAGAGGTGTTTATTGAGTCTCTATGCCAGGTATACAACAATGCATGAGAAAGTTACTGTCTTCATATTAATGGCAGTTCTAGCAAAGAAAAAGAAAATAATTAGTTACAGTACATTGTAATGCAGCATTGAGGCATAGGGGAAACTTGAGAAGCTGTGGAATCAGGGTGGGTCCTTCACCCAACCTGGATAGTCAAGGAAAAATTCATCAGATTCACCCAGTGATTGACAGAGCCAAGATTTCAAAGAGGGATGGGAGTGACCCAGGTGAGGGATAATTGCATACAGGTAGAGAAGAGAAGCAAGTCAAGGGGTCAGCAACATGCAAAGGTTCAAGAGAGCCTTCACCCTTAGGGAACTGAACATAAGTACATTATGTTTGGAATTTTTGAGTGGGAAGGGTAGTTATTTTAGCAGCTGATAAATGTGGTGCCGTGAATTGGACTATATCTTAAAGGAAGTGGGAAGCTGTGTTAAAGAATTTCAACTTTGGGCCCTCCCTGGTGGCGCAGCGGGTTAAAGCACTGCCCTGAGAAGCTAAAGCCACTGCCGCATGAGTTCGATCCCCGCCTGCCCTGGAGGTGATCCACATGGCGCAGCAGACCTCTCCTGACTTGCCCACTGCTCCCCTCTGCAGTGTACTTCATCAGTCAGCCTGTTTTGCTCCCCACTCTGTTTCTGGTGAATCCTCTCATTGCCCCTGCACCTCTGGCCTGTACCCCAGTTCTGTATGCACAGATAAATCTTTAAAAAAAAAAAAAAAAGAATTTCAACTTTACCCTTAGGTCAGTTGGAAGCAATTGAAGAATTTCATTCATGTTTCAGAAAATGAACCTGGTTATAATCTGGAAAGTTATTTGGAGAGGTAAATAAGTGGGAAAAGAGAAATGCTGTTAAGTAACTTACATTTAAAATTGGGAGATAGTCATCTTAAGTAGGTTGTAACAGTGAATGTCAAAAGACTTAGTAGATTTAAGAGAGTTTTAGGAGATAAAAGCAGCAGAAGTTAGAGATGTGGTTAGAGTTTCTGAATTGGGCAGGTAAGAGATATCCTACAGCATGACTGGAAAAGGAAGCATTTTCTATGTGGAAAGATGATTTAATTTTTGGCACATGTTATATATGCATAGCCTGTTGGATGGACATCCAGGTGATGCAAGAGAATCTAGTATGCAGACAGAATCTAGTATGTGGGGGCTTAAAGAGTTGAGGAATAGAGAGGTGAAGTAGAGAAGGCACTGTAGGCAGCTTCCTTAGGGTTTTCCTCTCACCCCCACTTTTTAAGTAATATGAGAAAAGAGGGAGAGATAAGCAAGAACCGTGGTTCTTGCTTTTAACTTCCCTATTGAGATATATTGTAAGCTTTATAATAAGACTTTGTATCTTTAAAGAAAAACATTTCCCAGTAAATAACCTTTGTACAGCTGTGAGGGTTGAACAACTGGTACCGCATTTGAAAGTTTCTTCCTAATGTTCTTTTAAAGTTGAAAATTTGCAAAGTAAAACATATAAATTAATTTTAATTTAGCGTTTAATCCACATATATCTTTTTCTTTGTCAATTTGTTTCTTGATAATTTTAAAAAGTGAAAGAAGTGGCAACTGTTACTAACAGGTGATAGAGCTTCTTTCTAAGTGCAAATATAAATTCAGTCTAGCTTTCTGATGTACTTAGTAGATTATTGCCCCGCTGTTCATTTTTCCTTCAGATGGAATGGAGGTAGATACTGCACCAACAGTTGCTGGACAGTTTGAAGATGCAGATGTTGACCACTGAAAATGACTTAATGCTGCTTTGAGGTGAGATGTTTATTTTTTCTTTTGTCGCTAAACATAAAAATCATGTGAAATATTTTTATTTTCATAATTCAGGAGAGTTAGCAGTTTAGAAATGTTATAAATTAAATAATACAAAATTATTTAAAGTTAGGTGATTTTTTTCCCCCTCTAAGAAATCAAGGTTTACAAACGTGGTGGTATCTGAGTTAATATTATTTACTCAGTAAGTGCTGCACTAAGCATTGTGAGTATATGGATTAATAAAATATATCCATCTTTAGTGAAATGAAGAGAATGATACTTCATTATTCAGAAACAGAAGCCTCCTTCATTAGCTCAGACAGGAGCAGCAGAACTTGAAACATGTCCTGTTTTGAGTCACTTTTCCACTTGTGATATTTGATGCTTTAACATGTTCTCCAAAAACCACAAAGCAGAGATGCTGTTTTATCTAAGTCCTTAATTTTATTAAAGCTTTTAGTAATATCATGACAAGATTTATGTATTTTGTCTTGACTCTTTTACCATTACCACTGATACTGGTAGATTGTGAAATCCCTCATTCCAAGTTCCATTTACCTTCTGAATTATTGATAACATACAGTTTCTTACATTATCCATGAATTGTGATAGTGGATCTCTGCTTTCCTCTCAGATTCTGCTTTTGGAAATAGCAGAAAGTAGTTTCTTAGAGTTCTGTGATGTATATCTCTTTCCTTAAATACTTAATATTTTATTCACAACATCAACTTTTGTCATGGGAGCCATAAGTAAAACCAGTGTCTCCTTTGTAGTTAGCGAAATACAGTGCGTTCGCGTATCACTAGAGCTCTGCTAACTTGAATTTTCAGATCTCACAGTTCTAGGTGTCAGTACTTCATTCTATTTGATAGTAAATTCTTTGTTATCAGTTTAAATCTTGATTCCTTATTTCTCACATTCATCCTACCTTTTTGAATCTTCAGTGATACTTAGTAACTTTTTAAAATTTAAATGTATTTACTTACATCATTATTCATTTTGTGCATTTTTTCATATCTGTTGTAAACTTAATGACTTTTATTAAAACTGGAAAACATGTTTTGATCTTCTGGCTTTGACAATATTCTTGAAAAAGACTGTTCAGAGAACACAACCACTATTAATTAGGATTACGGGAAAATAATTTCATATGTCACTAATGGTTATACAAGTGGGATGTTACTGCGGTTCCCTGGTGGGAATTCTTAGGACTCTTTGTAATGTAATTTTATGGTGAGATAACCATGAAATAGTCACAGACTTTGTAGTGAGCTGAGGATTTTGATTGTTTTGTTACAGCTCAAGAGGTATTTTATTCATAAAGTTCATGCAAATTCTTCATTTGGATAATTTATCTGAATTCCAAACAATGTCCGTAAACTCTTAATCATTTAAAATTGTAGTTCCCTTGAAGAAATAGCAGGAATAATTAGAATGTTTATGCAACCACTAGAAAGCTCAAGCCATTGGAACTAGGACACCTCAGTGCCTGGTGGCATGTTGGAAAGTGTATGGAATTTGGTACAAAATAATTTTGGGCCCAAATGCCAGATTTCTACTAATTTTATAATCTGAGGCAAAATTACCCAGAATTTTAATAGTATGAGATGAAGTGAAGTGGAAGGCATGTTACTGTAACAAAACAGAATCGTTACTCTGCCATGTACTATACTTACGCCTGTGGACAGGACACATACCTTACATCGTGCTCAGATTCCTCAGCTATAAAATGGGGTGATAATAACTGCAGGCAAAGACTGTTGGAAAGACTGAGCTATAACTTATCTAAGTCCCATGTTACTTTTTACTAGATATTCTATAAATTATGACCATTATAAGCACTGTCAATCTTTTGTCTTTCAGATTCTGCTCATAACTGTAGGAGAGAACTTGGTGCCTCTTCTTCTGTGCAGTGGGTATTGATGAAAGGCTCTTTTTTCCCTTCTCCAAAACTCACCTGAACCAGTTCTTTCCTGAGACAGACTATATATTGAGACAACATGTTGTCACCAGCAGAAGAAATTATGACCTTTATTAACAAAGGTGAATTAACTTAACCAAGAGGGTATTTGTAGTTTATTATTCCCTAAAACTTTCTATGTCTAGGTAACCTCTCAATAGCCCTGTAATTCCTGCTTTTATTGTATGCATCTTCTGTAACCTAGCGGGCCTATATGGTGAAATGTGTAATAGTATGGGAGTATAGATAGATTGGATGGAAAAGAGGCTGAATCTAAATTATACCTACTTAGGGCCTAAGGATACCTTTACCTCTTAAAAAAGAAAGATGAAGAGCTTTCAAGAGAAATCTTAGCCTCTGCTCATTATCCACAGGGTTAAGGGTCTTTTTTTCTAGTTTGGGATACAGATTAATTATTTCAGGTATCTCTAGAAATATCCCAGCCAGACTTACTACCACTAACACAAGTGCTTTTGCTGCTTTCACCACGTTTCTTCAGTCTAACATCAGGTTATATCCTATAATTCCCAACCTCTTAGGCCAGTTTCTTTAACAGAACAATGAAATTGGGATGAAATCCTCCAAGGACTTCAGATAATTGTTTTGGCTTTGTAATAGCTTAACAAATAAATCTAGGTTTTCTGTATTAGTGTGTTTTCATTCTTGACTAAAACCATTAATGAAAAAAATGTTTTTAATGCTGGCAAAAAATGAGAATCTTAATTTTGTTGAGAACATGAACATGAAATGAATAAAATGTGTAGTCAGAACTTTTCAGGGCTTAACACATTCTAAGGACTTCAGCTTCCATTTAGAGCAAGAGTAATTCCTTAAAATATACTTATCAACTCTCAGTTTTCCATTTTTATACATACTGGAGCATTTATGGGCTGAATTGTAGCTATAGATTTGTACTTGGACTTTGGATAACATTATATGACCTTAAAAGTAAAGTTAGGAAAGCTGTTCAGAATCTCTTGACTATTAGCAGTTAAGGTTTAGTTTATCACTACTGAGTTATATTTCAACATTCCCACTTGTTTTCTTATCATGTGCAGTATACCAAAAATAATTTATTTTTCTATTTCTGAACAGACTGAAATACTGAAAGGGTCAGTTGGAAATGGGAACTGAAATTTACCAAGACCACCTCTGTACCAGTTACTGTCCTGGGTTCTTTTACATGCTTTATGCATATACTATTATTAACTATCTTGGGAGTATAAGTACTGTTACTAGTCTTCTTTAGAATGAGGAAACTGAGTTAGAGAGCTAAGATAATTATAAGAGATTATATAGGTAGTGAGCTAATCAAGATTTTTAAGCCTATTCCCTAAAACACATTGCTTTACTATTGACCAGTACCTGAAAGCAAGCAAATTCTCTCTTCACTGTTTCTTTCCTTATTTTTTTTTTCCCCTAGAAGGGCACTTTTTTTTTTCTTAAAGATTTTATTTATTCATACAGAACTGGGATACAAGCCAGAGGTGCGAGGACGGTGAGACAATTCATCCGACTCAGAGTCAGGGACAGAACAGGCAAAGTACACTGCTGAGGGGAGCAGTGGGTCAGACAGGAGAGGTCTGCTGTACCATGTGAGTCACCTCCCTGACTGGGGCTCAAACTTATGCTGAAGTGGCTGCATCCAGGTTCATAGTGCTGTGCTTTAACCCACTGTGCCACCATATTTTTAAAAATGTGTGTGTCAGTCATTTATGTAACTATGATTTTGGGACTGTAGCTTCACACCTCCATGTGTGCATGTGCTTCCCTCACCTTCTACCAAAATCCAATGTCAGTATCTGTCCCCTTCTATCACCTATCTCTCTTCCCTCTCCGCTCGTCCCTCTCATAACCTGTAGATTTTTCAGTGTCTAAGAATTTTTCAAGCTATGTTTTTTCAGTTTGTTTTCTTTAGCCATTTATATTCCAAAAATGAGTGAGATCATCTGGTAAGCTATCTTTGACTTTCTGACTTATTTCACTTAGCATAATCACCTCAAGATCATCCATGTTTCCCTTTTAAAAGATACTATTTCATTAATAGCTGAGTAGTATTCCACTGAGTGTATTTTCCATATATTCTTTATCCTATCATTGTGCATTTATTTGGTTCTCTGACCCAGCTGTTGTAAATAAAACTGCTATGAACAAAAGAATGCAAAATCTTTTTGTATTAAGAGTTTTCATGTTCTTTGGGTAAACTAAATACCTAGCAAGAGTTCGTTTTCTTTTTAAAATTTTTTATGGTGAAAAAATTTTTATTTAGAATTTGCCAGGTGGATTTAGTTTAGATGATCCCAGTTTTGTTGGCAACATCCAAAGCATCATAGTCAGCAACCAGGCGAACATATGCCACCTTTTCTCCATCAGGTCTGCTCAGGGTGTTATCCTTGGCCACGTCAATGTAGAGCTTCTTCACAGCCTGTTTGATATGGTATTTATTGGCCTGGACATCCACAATGAACACAGGTGTATTATTGTCCCCTGTCTCCTTCATGGTTAACTAGTTAGTCAGAGGACTCTCTTGATGTATAGTGATCAAACTTGATTCTCTTAAGAGCTCTTTTCTAGGGACATTGGGGTTGCCTTTGGAGTGTCAGTGTCTTGGGCCTCTGGAAGGTGAGTGGCAGGTGTGTCTTTTCTTGTGGTTGAGGATGCCTTTCAGCACTGCTTTGGTCTTAAAAGCGCTGGCTTCAGCTTTGGGGACTGTCAGGGCTTCCTTGTTTATTTTTGGCACCATTTTGATGAAAGGGGTTTCTCCATTTTTATTTTTATTAAAAAGTTTTTATTTATTTTGCATAGAACTGGGGTATGGGCCAGAGGTGCAGGTGAGAGGATTCAACAGAGACAGAGTGGGGAGCAGAATACCCCAGATTTATTGAAATACACTGCTAAGGGAAGCCTTTAGCAAGATGAGAGGTCTGCTGCGCCATGTGTGGGCTAGCTCCTTGGCCAGGATTGAACTTAGCCTTACTGGTAATAGCACTGCACTGAGACTTTTTTTTTTTTTAAATTCATACAGAACAGGGATACAGGCCAGAGATGTGGAGGGTGAGAGGATTCACTAGAGACAGAGTGGGGAGCAGAACAGGCCAACTGACGAAGTACACTGCTGAGGAAAGCAGTGGGCGGGTCAGGAGGGGTCTGCTGCGCCATGTGGATCTCCTCCGGGGCAGGTGGGGATCGAACTCATGCAGAAGTGGCTTTAGCTTTTTAGTGCTGTGCTTTAACCCACTGTGCCACCAGGGAGGGCCCAGCACTGAGACCCTCTAGGCCACTCAGGGAGACTCCCCATTTTTATTTTTTAAAGGAATCTCTATCATTTTTCATAGAGGCTATACCAGTTACATTCCCACTGACAGTGGAAGTATTCCTTTTCACTTCCCTTGTCTTTTTGGTAGTAACCATACTCACAGGGATGAGGTGATACTCTTTTGATTTACATTTTCCTTATAAGTAGTGGTAGGGACTCCTGATGGTGCAGGGGGTTAAGTCTCAGCAATATGAAACTTTTGGCAGTACAAGTTTGATCCCCAGCCAGGGAGCTAATGCACGTAGCATAGCAGACCTCTCCTGTCTCACAGGCTGCTCCCTTCAGTAGTGTATTTCAGTAGATCTGCCTGCTCTGCTCTCTACTCTGTTGCAGGTAAATCCTCTCACCTTTCATCCTTTCCTCTCTGGCCTACACTGCAACTCTTGTATGCATACATAAATTTTTTTTTTTTTAAAGTAGTGATGTTGAGTTTTTTTTCAAGTGCCAGTAGGCTCACTTCTCTTTGAAGTGTCTAGGTCTTTTGCCCATGTTTGTTGTTGAGCTGTATGAGTTTTTCATATTTTTCAAAAAAGACCCCTTGCCAGACGTCTGATATGCAAATATCTTGTCGCAGTCTGTAGGTTGCCTTTTTGTTTTTGTGCTGGTTTCTTTTGAGGTATGAGAGCTTTTTAGTTCAGTGTAGTCCTACTTGTTTTTTGATAGTTTCCCTGCTATTTGAATTGTCTCTAAATACATCTGTGAGGTTGATATCCAGGAATGTATAAACCTGTGGTTTGTTTGAAACTATTTTATGGTTTCAAGTCTTATATCCAAGTCTTTAATTGATTTTGAATTAATTTTTATGTATGGAGTTGATCTAGTTTCTTTCTTTGTTTTTAGGCATGTGGCTGTCTAAGTTTCCCAGCACCATTTGTTAGAGTGTCTTTACCTGTTGCATGGTTGTGGCCCCTTGTCAAAAATTAACTGCCCATATTTATGTGGGTTTATTTCTGGGCGTGCTATTCTAGACCATTGGTCAGTGTTTGGTTTTGTTCCAGTACTATACTATTTTGTAAACTTATTTCTGTGTAACATAGTTTGAAATCAAAGAGTGTAATACTGTCATTTTTCTTCTTTTATCTCAGGATTACTTTTGTTGTTTGGGGTCTTTTGTGATTCCATATGAATTTTGTAATTGTTCTATTTATTTGAAGAATGACAAATCCCTTATAAAGATTCCAATAGAATTGCTGCCATCTACTGAAATGTATTAACACTATCATGAAATTCTGTTCCTATATACATGAAAATAACATTGTGTATAATTAGGTCTTGGTCAATTATTTATACCTATACAATGGGAAGCTGTATAATTAAAAAGAATTTGGTAGATAGATGCTTACCGATACTGAATTTGCTACACGATACATTAAATGGGGAAGGGAGGAGGAGGCTGCAAAGATATTTATGAAGAAGAAAACAGGCTGAAGGTTGCAATGTGAATTATAAATGCTTATGTATACATAAAATATCTTGAAAGAACATAAGAAAGTCAAAATAGTTATCTCTAGGAGAAGACGACGACAGACAGGAGGGTCTTTTTTTTTTTTTTTTTTCCGTTTATGGGTTGAATTTTTTTTTTTTTTCTCAAAAAGATATAAAGTCCTAACTCTTAGAACTTCAAATGTGACCTTACTTGGAAATAGGATCTTGAGTTAAAATGAAGTTATTAGGCTGGACCATAAATCCAATGCTCTGTTGTCCATATAAGAAGAGGATTTCACACAGACAGGCATAGGCAGAGAAAAGGCCATGAGAGGACAGAGTCATGTACTGATGGATCTACAAGCCAGAAATGCCGGAGGCTGCCAGAAGTTAGGAGAGGGATCTGGAATCGATACCTTTAGAGGGGAGCACAACCCTGCAGACAATTTGATCTTGTACTTTTGGCCTCTAGAGCACAATAAGTTTGTGCTATGTTGTATTGGCTATCAGAAAATTAGTACATACAGAAAAGAAAATCTTAGAGGGAAACTTGAAGTTTCTTTAAGCCTTTTAGTTGGGCCTCCCTGGTAGCATAAGGTGTTAATGCGCAGCACTGCAACACTGGCCAGGGAGCTGACCCTCATGGTACAGCAGACCTTTCCTGTGTTGCCCACTGCTCCCCTCAGCAGTGTACTTTAGTTGATCTGCCCGTTCTGCTCCCCACTCTGTCTCTGGTGAATCCTCTCACCCCACCAACTCTGGCCTGCATCCCAGTTCTTGTGTTCATAAATAAATAAATCTTTTTTTTTTTTAAAAAGCTAGTTAATTCCTAATCACATTTTAATATTACCATTAGTCATAGTGTTAAAGAATTGTTTTTGTGCCAAAGAAGAAGTCTAAAGATGTATTTGGCTCTAAATAACCAGGAGCAGGACTTACTTTTCTTATCTGTAAAATAGCGTTTAAAAATACATGCTCTAACAGGTAGGTGTTAGGATCAAATGAGAATGTGAGCAGCTTACATCTTTATTTTGTTAAGGGTGTTTGTTTATTATAATCTATTAAGGAAAAGCAACTTGCCTATAGCTAATAAAATAGTCTGTTTAGAGAAAATAATTTAGAACACATTTAAAATTCAGAAAACACCCTTGAGAATGAGGGATGTATAATCTACTTCCAAAAGCAACTTTCCTATTGAAAGATGACCCTACTGATACTATCACTGAATGAGGTAGCAGCTGAAAAGAATCCTGTTTAGTTCTGAAAGTGTAGCTGGTTTTACTTTGGCTAAAAATCCTGTTCATTCAGGTTGCTCCTGATAAACACTTTTTTGGGAATGACTGGGAGTCCTAACCATCACCTTCTTTCTATTTTGTGCCCGTTTATTTCCCCCCCAAAAATTAACAATTGCCACTTGAGATTTATATTTAATGTAGTGAGTCTTCTCTAGCAGCATTTAATACATTTGTGAAACATCTTAACTGAGAAACACAGGATACCTCATTTTCACAGTAATTTTTTAAAGTCCCAGTGATGAAAATATAAAGCAGCTTCCTCAAAGGACAGTTAACATTGATGAATCCAGTGTAGTCATTTGTTGAATATGAAGTGATAGAATCTTTATCACATCCAACTTGACTGTCCTGTAACTAAGTCGGAGTCTTTCAGAATGGTTATTCCTTTTTATTAATTGTCTGGTGGTTATACAGCCATGGAAGGAAAAAGCTAAACATCAAAATCATCAACAATATACCTGAAAGACAAAATACAACAGAATAAAAGCAAAACAATATCTTAAGAAAGTTCATAATCATTTGGTGGATACAATTTAAAATTATATATGTTTACATACTTAAGCGATTTGGAAGGCTTTGTTTAAAAGAATAATCTGGGCCTCCCTGTCGGTACAAGGGTTAAAGTCTCAGCGCTATCAATCAGTCCATAGTCAACTGCAGCAGGGGTTTGAGCCCCAGCCAGGGAGATGACCCATGTACGGCACAGCAGACCTTTCTTGTCTCACCACTATTCCCCTTTGCAATGTATTTCAGTAGATCCTCCTGTTCTGCTCCCTACTCTGTCTCTGGTGAATCCTCTCACCCCTCCCTACTGCACCTCTGGCCTGTACCCCAGTTTTAGGCAAAAAAAAAAAAAGCCCAAAAAACAGCTAAGTAACATATGAATCAAAACAAGCAAAATGCAAAAGCCCTTATTTAAGCTACATTTGGCAATGACCTGAAGTGTACCCATTTTGTTTAATAGACATGAGCAATAAGCAAGAAGTGCTTACTGTGGATAAAAGCAAGGGTGAAGAGTATAAGACCAGGCATCATACTCATAGTAATGAAGCAGGCTTAAAACAGGTGCCTAAACAACATTAAGCAGTGTTAATACAGAAAAGTATATTATGGTTACAGTTAAAACTTTTGTGTTACTGATGCATTTGTTTAGAGGAGCTTTATATATCTTGTGATCCAGATAGAAATCCAGATAGATCCAGATACTCTTTAAGGGATGTATTATTTTATGAGATACTCTAGCAAAAGTAGTCAAATGAATAAATAGTCTTTTATCTGGAGCACACAAATTTGAAACAACTACTTCCTATAACAAAATAAGAGATTATATTTATTTAATTTTTAAAGATTTACTTATTTATGCACACAGAACTGAGGAATAGGCCAGAAGTGCAGAGGCAGTGAGAAGATTCACCAGCAAGAGTGGGGAGCAGAACAGGCAGGCTATGAAGTACACTGCTGAAGGAAGCAGCAGGCCAGACAGGAGAGGTCTGCTGCCCCATGTGGGTCACCTCCCGGGCTGGCCAGGAAATTGAACTCCCACTGAAGTGGCTGCTGCTAGCTTTGCAGTGCTGCGCTTTAACCTGTTGAGCCACCAGAGAGTCCAGTTTTGTTTTGTCTTTTTAAAGATTTACTTATTTCTGCATCCAAGAACTCTAGTACAGGCCAGAGGTATGAGGGGTGAGAGGACTCACCAGACAGAGTCAGGAACAGAACAGGCAGACTGACTGAAATACACTTGAGAGTTTTAATGGGTGATTCGAGCGGTCTCCTGAGCCATATGGCTCACCTCCCTGGCCAGGGATTGAACTCGTGTTGCAGTGGCTGTGGATAGCTTACAGTGCTGCACTTCACCACCAGGTAGGGCCCCAGTTTATGTTTAAAAAGAATAATCACGCCTCACTTTTTTGCCCTCGTATCTGGGGGTTTCTTATAGTGGTAAGACTGAAACAGACTGCCCTTGACAGATAAGACAGTCTGAAAGGATATTACACAAAGTAAAATATTATTTCAGGTGCATTACCTTTTTTGCTTTTTTTGTGGCTACTTTGGCTTTGGAAACTGACATTTCCATGTCGTATTTTAAGAGATATTAATCTTTTAATCATATTAAATAAAAATATACTTACCTAAAGAAGGAGCCAGCCAGTATACAATAAAAAAGTGAATGAATGCTTCATCAAAACACTTGAAATGTAGTGAAAGTGCCAAAATTGGATTAAATACAGCTCCTGTTAGACTTCCTCCTGTAATACATTTTAAGCAGAGTGATAACAAGCAATATATCTTACATTTTCTTATAAGTAGAAAGAAAGGGGTTACTAAATCGTAGGGTTTTTTTTTTTTAAAGATTTATTTATGCTTACAGAACTGGGGTACAAGCCAGAGGTGTGGGGGGTGAGAGTTCTCATCAGAGACAGAATAAGGAGCAGAACAGGCAGCTCAACTTGAAATACACTGCTGAGGGGAGCAGTGGAGAGGTCTGCCACACCATGTGGGTCAGCTCCCTGGCTGGGGATGGAACTCAAGTTGCTGTGGCTTTGGAGAGCCTCATAGTGCTGTGCTTTAACCCATTGTGGCACCAGGGAGAGCCCAAATCATATGTATTTTAAGTATTGTCTTCCTTAGTGAAATCACCAGGTATATTATAAACTATATCACCAGGCATATTATAAGCTATAAAAGGAGAGTAGATAATGCTAGGTGAAAAGCAGAAAAGACAAACATTATGAGTTAAACCAGTGCCTCTCTATATATTGTAAACTACATCTCAAGGGCTTCTGGTATCAGGTTCTGGGGAAAGGGATGGCAGAATGCCAGATCTGGTCCTGAATGAGACATGAAGCAGCCCAAGAAGGAGGCCAAGATGATGGATGAGATGATGGATGCATTCAAGCAGAAACAGAAAGAGGAGGTAAAAGTGATGGCTGCCAGGAAAGCTATTCCTGACCCCCAGGTGGAATTAAAAAATTGGCTAAAAGCAAGCTATTCCATTCCTGTTTAAACATCTGGACTCCTTGTCATAATATATCTTGCTGGCAATATCTAGAATGAAGTGTCTTGGAGTCTATTGTACATTTATGAATAAACTTCAACCCCCAAAAATGAAATACATGTTGAAAATGACTCTGCTCTATTTTTCCTCTCATTTTATAAAACAGATTTGGCTGCTTTTCTTAATATTAGTCAGTTTAAGTGAGTAGATGATATTTGTACATTTAAAATGTGTATCATAAACATACCCAGGATCCTACTGGGCAAGAGCAGACCTTTGTGTTGAAAATAATGTAAACTAGATCAGTTGCCAATGACATCATTTTTACTTTGTCAAGAGACCCTCCGGAAAAAGTGGTTGTGAATGGCATGTGAATTATGTTAGTGAAATGGTGACAATTTTTTTTTTTTTAAAGATTTATTTATTTGTACAGAACTGCGGTACAGGCCAGAGATGCGGAGGGTGAGAGGATTCACCAGAGACAGAGTGGGGTACAGAACAGGCAGATCGACAAAGTACACTACTGATGGGAGCAGCGGGTGGGTCAGGAGAGGTCTGCCTCGCCATGTGGATCTCCTCTGGGGGAGGCGGGGAATCGAACTCATGCGGAAGTGGCATAAGCTTCTTTGTGCTGTGCTTTAACCCGCTGCGCCACCAGGGAGGGCCCGACAATTTGTTTTTAATAAAAAGAAAGTGGCCATGAGTAGTGATAAACACAGATTCCTATTGTTGATTAATGTCAGAACTCATGATCCAGCTCTGTACCCAGACTCTGACGTGGAGCTTACTAGCAGGAAAAGGCAAGAAAAGCTGGACTACCTTTAAGGTTGTACTCACAAGAGCTATGATTCTGTATTTCAGAATATAGCCTGAGAGTATCCCTAAAACATTCCTGGCAGTTCTATGTGGGAGCTTGGGCACAAAAACTGATGGAAAGAAAGCCCAAGATCTTCACAGATATTATATTGACATAGGCTATTATAGTGTGCTGGCTTCATAAAATGCAGCAAAGTAAAACTGCAAATTACATGACACTCAAAAGTATTTCTGAGTCTTCACACTTGACAGGCTGAAAATACTGTAGCTGTGTTGAGAGGAAGATACTGAGTAATGAAGGAGGTTAAGATTTTCTAGCAAATCAGCCTCAGCATGAGTCATTCAAGCCTCTGCAATTATAAATTACATCATTTTATGGACCTTCAGAATCCTTGATTGTCAATTCCAGGAATGTTAAAGCGGCAACTCATGGACCAAGAGAATTGTCTGGTTGGCAGGTAAGTCATATTAGTTTGATTAAAGTATTGTGTTCCTGTGTAGTTGATGCCACAGGCAGAAAGATAAGGACACACAATGATTTTAAAAATTTGGTGAAATGTACTATAAGTGACCTATGGTTTTTCTTAGGCAATTTTCAATATAGGCATATTGAACCACTGCCTTCATAATTGCTTTATTTATTCCAGAGTTGAAGACTTGCCACTAGGTTTAGGGTCACTATCAGTTTTACAATATCCTAAAACTCAAATACCCCACTCCTTTTATCTTCCAATTCTCATATCACCATTTCTGCTCAGTGTGACTTGATTGAAGATGCTCCTGTCAAAAGACAGTCTATTCCCCTGTCTTAAATAGGAACTGGCTTTGCAACTTATATCAACAGAATGCAACAGAAGTGATGCTATGTGAATTCTGAATGTGAGGAGTGACAGTGTTGTAGGGTCAAGGTCTCAATAAAACCATGAGCTACCACTTTATACTCTTGGAACAATATCCTGACCATACAAATAGATTGGCCTAGACTGCTTTTCCAAAAGGAAAAGCCAGGCACCTTCGATGCCTGCTGGCACCAACTCTGGACACCTGAGTGGGGCTACCTTGGCTCAGCCCTACTACGCTATAAATACACACACACAGTGTGTGTGTGTGTGTGTGTCCCCTGGTCCTGTTGTGTGTGTGTGTGTGTGTGTGTGTGTGTGTGTGTCCTGGTCCAGTTATATACTCTGAGAGGGCCCTCCCTTTTAACCACAGACTAACAACAACAAAAAAAAGTGACTAAGATGTGAGGTCTTTTATTACATAGCAATAGTTAACTGATACATCCATGTGGTGTTGGCTTTGAAGTCTTAGATGGAGTTGTTTTTTGTTGTAAGGGTCTGGCCTATAATAGGATATTTAGTAGTATCCTTGAACTTTACCCATTGGGTGCAAGTAGCATAGCCACCTCCCCTCATAACAAAAATACTTCCAGACATTGCGAAGTGGCCATTAGGAGGCAAGATCATTACCCCTGAAAAAACACTGTCCTAAAGAAACTTGTGCACAAGTAGACATACAAGGTTATATGTAGTAGCAAGGTAGCAGGAAGAACCTAAATGCCCATAAGAAAATAGCTAAGCAAGTTTGTTACTGATTTAGAATACCATTCCATATGTAGAAGTAATGAAAAATCTCTTTACTAACATAAGTAGATCGCCAAGATACATTGAACAACCACCACCATAAAAGGCAAACTGTAGAAAGTAAGGTGTGATGTCCTTTATGTTAACATGAACATACAGTAGTTTGTAGCAGGGACCCTTCCTGATGGTACAATGGGTTAAAGCACAGCACTGCAAAATTCTCCAAAGCCACTGCAGCACAAATTTGATTCCCGGCCAGGGAGGTGACCCGCGTGGCATGGCAGACCTCTTGTGACCTGCCTGCTGCTCCCCTCAGCAGTGTATTTCTGCTCCCTGCTCTGTCTTTGGTGAAAGCTCTCAACCCCTGCCGCAGCATCTTTGGCCTGTACCTCAGTTCTTGTATGTATAAATAAATATTTAAAAATAAAATTGAATTCTCTTTTTTAAAAGTTTGTATAGAGAAAGGCTCATCTGTGAGTATAGTAAGTGTACATAAAAGTGTTTGCAACACATACACAGAATTGTCCTGTAGTAAGAGCAGGCAGGGAAGGAGGGGGACAAGCATGGAGGATTTAAAAGTAAGAATAAAACAAAACTAAAGTGTCTTCAAAAAGTAAGATACTATTCACATTTGAAGAGAATGCATAATATGTTGAAGAGGCATGAATTGGGAAATGCAGCTGGTTCACTGCCAAGAATCTTAAAGGACAGCATGAACTTGGCAAAATTCCCACAAATACTGCATCCCAAATAGGGCAATTCTAGGTACTAATTTTTCTTAGTATTCTTAGTGAAATCAAGTTTTCTGTGACAGACTGACTTTGGTTATTAATATAAAGATTCCCGTATAAGTCAGAATGAATGTCAATTAACAGCTTACAGTGTAGGCAAGCCTTTTACAGTGTCCAGAATATCTATGATACATATTACACTAAGAGCTTGAAATCCATTCCTCCTTAAAATACAATAGCTTTAAAAGAGAGGTAGTTGGCTCCATTCTAAAGATTACAAAACTGAGGCCCAAGTAGCTCTCCTAACCCATTTCAAAGTTGTATGTACTCCTAGCCACTATGCTATAGTGACACATTAAAAAAATGTGGGGCCTTTTAATTTGTAAATTGGTACCTATTTCATTTGATTATTAAAAGCAAGCAGAGGACTCAGTTTCCTTTTACAAGTAATTTTACCTATATATTATACAAATAATTTTTTATATATTATGTATTTATACTATATATTATACAAATAATTTTACCTATATATTTATACCTATAATAATTTTACCTATATACCTTCATAAGTTTGATACAAAAGACTTACGAAGTAATGAAGTAAAAATACTAGTTTATTAGATTTACTTTGAAAGTCTTTTTGGTATAAATTATGGAATATGCATATGGCTTCTTTTTGTGTGACAAAAAAACTGTATTTGCTCATTCATTCATTCTTTTATTCATTTTGTACCAAATGACACTATGCTAAGTCCTGTCTATGTCATAGTAAATATAAAAATTAAGATTCAGCCCTCCCTGGTGGTGCAGCGGGTTAAAGCACAGCACTAAGAAGCCTAAGCCACTTCCGCATGAGTTCGATTCCCGCCTGCCCTGGAGGAGATCCACATGGCACAGCAGACCTCTCCTGACCCACCTGCTGCTCCCCTCAGCAGTGTACTTCGTCGATCTGCCTGCTGCTCCCCGCTCTGTCTCTGGTGAAGCCTCTCGCCGCCCCTGAGCCTCTGGCCTGTACCCCAGTTCTGTATGAACAAATAAATAAATCTTTTAA